GTTGACAGAGGTTGTGTGTCAGGTTCAGAGTTCAACAAAGGCACTTTAATGGATGTTGGAAGGTCAAGTGACACAAACTGCTTTTCAGCTGACATTTAAATATGATCCAGACTGACACACACATCACAGTGGGGGAGCCCCTTAAACACACACCTCAGACATTAAGCCTTACTCCATTTTTCCTCCTACAAAGGATTGTCTTGACCTAACCTTTGACCCGTCCAGTCTCATTTACCTAACATCCTTCTTTCTGCTAGACAAATACAAAAACATTCCTACACAAATATACATTGTATGTTCTGACAAAACCTCTTAAAACACCCAGAAATCCTATAATACAACAAAGATTTCCTCGCAAAACACAAAAGGGAAATGTCCTGTGTGCTCTGGGGTCCTGCCTCTGACTGAAGTTTTACACTGGTCCATAACATTGTTTGGTGGCGTTTATGGTGCTTGTTAAAAAGCAGCATTCTTGCTCAGATGTCCGAGCCTTGAAGACCAGCCAAGATCCAGGAGGCCTCATGACATCACTCAGTCTCTGTCATACAGTCTCCTCTGGTGGGGCAACAGTAAAGTATCTGAACTGTTTGATTTTCTAGAAACTCGCTGGGACAGGAGACATTTTACGTTGGTGTACTGGATATAAGACACAATGCAATACAAAGATCTTTACAATCACAGCTTATTTCTGTCAGTCTTTAGTGTGGAGAATGTTGTAATATTATGAGAGCAAAGCCCTGAAGTGTTAAAAAAAATAAAAAATCAAGAATTAATATTGGGCAATGTCCTGGTCAAGTTCTCTGTTTGGCCCGCAATCCAATCCAATCCCATTTCCAGAGATAATACACATTTCAAGTAATTGTAGATTAGCTGTTGTACCTGGTTGCCCCACCAGGTAGAACCTCTGACCATTTAATATTGTAGCCACCCAAAGAGGGGGTCACTCGGGTTCTGTGATAGCAAGCAGAGAGCTTTTGTGGTGGTTTAGCTAGCAATGGGCCATCATGACAAAGGTTTCTGGGGCAATTAACGGCCTCTGGTCAGAGCTCACTTGTTTAAGACAAGTCAGGATCAACTGGAGCAGCACTTCTTTATCCCAATAGGATATGACAGAGCCACCTTTGGGGCCCATATCATGTGTCCGTTAAATTAAACAATATCTGTACAGGACATGACTAGTAATACTTTTAGAAAAAGGTTACTTCTTAACAACATTTGACTTGATTCACTTAACCGGACAGGTATTCTAAATGACCCAATAAATAACAGGATGGAAACTAATACATTATTCCCGAAAACCTTCACCATTGATGAAAACATTTTGTTCATCAATGGTGGCTCTAATATTCTGCATTAATATCGTTCTATCGTATTTAACACTCTGCTTTTCTATAGCTCCATAAACACTGGCGATGTGTTTTCCACCCCAACTAACTTCTAAAAAAAAAGGGGACTATAACAAGAAAAAGACAGAAGCATAACATACGTTTATTATGTCTGTGCTTGTTGTTTAATGATTTCATTACACATCGGAATCCTACACTTGAACTTGCCCTGGCCCTGAACCCCACAGAGGACAGGACCAACATAACAGACATCCGCTCTGCAATGTCCTTCCTTTCATTCCACCAACACATGTCTTCACCATTACCTTACCTACTGGCTATAGACAGACAGAAACACTACCACCTTGACTCACACTGTTGCTCCTATAGGAAAGTAAAAACAGGCGAATATTAGAACAGCTCAGCTTCAGGGCTTTTAGTCACTGCATTACCATGGCCAGACAATTATGGTTTTATAGGGGTCATACTGTACTTCTTTCTTTGGTCAGAGTTTACACCTGGGGGTTTTAGATCATTGCTTGGGACTTCCTATGGAGTACCGTGTTGAGACTAATGCTATCTTTGGGATCTATGCTCATGTCTGAGTGTTCATCATATCTTCTTGGCTGTCTGTGATGGATTAGCCACCTGTGGAGATGAGAACTGGGTAATTGTGTACATGCTCACACACACACAGACACATGCATATATGATGACCCCATCCTTTTCACTAAATCTAATTAAAGGGATTTAAACACCCATGACCGCCCACCTGGTCTTAGGGTGACTTCATCATCACCTCTATCTTTACCCCATAAAGTCTAACCCCTACAAACACAAGGGAAAGGGTGTTCCACCCTGGATAAAGCAGCAGAGGAGGCATGACTGTGTTTGTCAGGGTTATTTGAAATTCAGAGGTTAGGCACAGTATACATGAATACACTTGGAAATAATTATTTAAATGGAGACTTGGAATGCAAAGGCCTTGCATAGACGCTGGGAACAAGAAGAAGAGCAGGACATTGATTCTCCACACACTCTAAAATTTAAAAACCCCAAGCAGTATGGTATGGATTCTTCATGCTGGAAAAAAATATGCAAGACAAACACAGGTTGTACTAGAAAAGGGCTATGCAAGCACACTTTCATGGAAACCATGGGAGCTATAAAATAAAAGATATAGAGATTTGGGGTTTTCTGCTGTTACATACTGTGGTTATGTGGTTCCAGACTCGAAATGTTGAGCATAGAAAAAAACGCAAAGGAACAAAACAAAAGCAGAGACAAAACTCCAAGGTTGGACTACATGGAACTAATGTCAAAGCACGACATTTTAAAATGTGTAGCAGAAGAAAATCACATCAACCCTCCTGCAAAAAACAGCAGCTTAGAAGCATTGGCTCTGTCGTCAGTACATTTTTCCCCTGTCAGTCTATCTGATGGCACAACAACAATGTTAAGTTTACACTACACAGGCCAGCAGGTTGCATCAGAATAGATAAACTCCTCTTCCAATTTGTTGCTGCATTCCGCACTTGCAGCACTTATCTCAGCTTAAAAACGCAGCATGGTTTTAAAGCCAATAAGGTAATCTAGTAAACACACATATTCGACGTGTCTTCTTAAATCAAGAGATCTGGTAGGCTAGACGACTTTTCTTGCCAAGGAGGAATTCCTCCCACACCGGAGCCTGCGCTCTGATCCATGACCAGCCAGCAAGTCTCGGCTCTGCACGACTATTCCTCACTGTACTCTCCGGAGGTATCCCGCTGTGATAAACATACAACTACATAGCAACACAAATACACACACCACACCGTACCTTTCAACTTCTAAATCTCTCTTGCTGTTAAGTACAGTATATGTTTGCAGAGTTCTTGCCTGCATGATGTTTTTGGTTCTGCTGCCATATGAATCTTGCACATTTATACAGACTTTTAGATGGAGGGGTGTATAGTGCCCATGGCAGGGTGGTCTCGTTGTAAAAGGGCCTGATCTATAACTTAAAGGTCAAAGTTTGTTCTCTTTCTTTATGTGATGTTTTAAAGCCAGACACTCAAGTCAGTGTCCCTTTATTTGCCAGTTGTTTTTGGATGATGCAGCATTTACAGCTATGGGCTGAAGTTAAGGAAAAGTATATCCCACAGTGGACATTATGACATCAAATGATAATAGTGGTGGTTTTGCAAGTTTATTTTTATATTTTATTTGATTAAAGTAAAAGTAGTGCCTGCATGGAAGATGGTAAATGCCAGGACTGTGGTTCACTTTGGAAAGTGGTCTGTGGCAAATGCAAAGTCTACACAATTTGCAGCTAATGAGCTAAAACTTGCAAAACCGGCAGTGCGTTTTGTTTCTTTTCTCCTTTTTTTTGTAGGGAGCTCTGACATCCCACCTGATGTAAGAAAACACAGACGCTTGCAGAGAAAAAAAATTTGATAAACAAGGCAAAGAATTCATGTCCAGACCCAAAGGCCGATATGTTAACTAAGTGCTCAACTTTACAGCAAACATGAACATGTTTACAGTCTGGTATAAAAAAAAAGTTTTGGTCTCTATTTGGCTAGTTCCTCATTAATGACAACTGTACAAGGGGTGAATATTTACATAACTCACTAATTTAAATTGCATAAAGGCCAAAAGTAGGCATAAGTTAGGGGGAGTCAGGTCCTTGTAAAGATGGTGAAAGCTGGAGGCACTACACTGAGGTTCAAAACCTTTTCCCTTAGAAACCTATTAGTGATGTCTTGGAAGGTTCGTCCATCTTCACATACAGTCAGTGAGTACAATCAATTATTACTAAGAAAAAATATATCCATGCACAGCTTATATGACAAAAGTCAAGCTTATACAACAAGAACAAGGCTTGACTGTGTCTGTTTCGAATGTTAGTGACATCTGAAGGTACATTATCTGAGGAAAAGATGTACAGTTTTCTTTTAGAGTCTGATGTTAGATACTAGACTTTTAGAGCATTAAGCAGTGGAAAAATCCTCAAAACACAACCTGACTTTACTTAAGCATCTGCCAAACATCTGAATTTGTA